ACTTTTGCTGCGTTGACCATTATAGGGTAGTATAGCGAAAACTTTAGCATAAATGTTTGTTTGAAGCTAATGAATTCTACGAGGGTTGCTTGAGTATGSCTTCCCTTGATGTGTGGTAAATGCCACCGTCTTGTTGAAACCAAATGTCGCGCAGATCACGAGCTTCAATTTCACGCATCAAATAGACCTTTGCCATGACGCGATAACGGTCGCCATCGACGTTTGTGTACTCAYCGGCATAATTTTTGAAGAATTATATACCGATGATTCCACCGGTCCACAAACCACAYTAAATCGTTGTTTTTTCTGTTTGAAATGCCAAATGTCATGAATGTCTTCAGGTAGGTTTACTCGATTACACGGACTTCATCTCTGAACAAAGTTTTGCCAGAAAACGGCCGATCTTSTTGGCACTTTTCAAGAGYCCATAGAGCGAAGCGATGTCSCTTGGAAAGCTCCAAGGTTTCAGTTCTTGCACAAGTTATATWTTGTACGCTTCCAATTTAAGAKTCTAGTTAGAGTTACCGCGAACAAYGCCGAATCGACTCTCCACGGTCTTCTTGTGCACTCTCAKGTACGGCTACTATGTTTTCTTCACTGCGTGCTGGACSYAACRTGAYAGCTTGWCRCGACTCACGTGTGGTACGCCARAAAAAGGCTATTGGWAGAAAMACCTCRACTTGGRTCACCCGTTACTATTAACAAACATTTTTCTAAAAATCTACTTTTTATATTCAATAGCTATAAGTTCGTGGTATAAATGGCACTGCGATTTTGTGAGGTGCAACTTCGAGTAGAACTTTCTATTGCTTTTGGCATATGTGATTGCGCATCTGTACTTTTGCGTTGCATGTGTGTGTGTGTGTGTGTGTGCAATTTTGCAACATTTTACTTGCGAAATTGCATTTCGAAAGTATTTCATCGAGCTCTTTGCAGCTGTCGTACATAAATTGCCAATGGCAGAGCAAACTTTTGATTTCTCACTTTGACAAAGAGATGATTTATTATATTATATATACTTCGTCTTCTCTCTTTATGTGCTGAAATGGGCGAAGCAAGCTGATGACGCAAAATAAATAGTTAAGTAACTTACGTCATATATAGAAGCGCAGAATTTTAAAGATGGTTCAGTTAAAATATAGAAAATCAAAAGAAATATACATATACATATACACCTACATACATATATAAGTCTAGTAAAAGAACATTCTTTTTGCTTAAGTTTATAATTAAAATTGTCGTAGTTAGGTCAAGTATGCAGCGTTTTATTTGATAACTTGTTACCATTTTGTATGTAATTTCATAATGYCACCATCATAAAATTACTTGCCTCTATTGTCAAACAAATGCAGGACCAGGAAATTCATTCGCCATACACCGGAACAGATATTAATCACCCGCTACACGGTTCGGATGGATGCGTAAGGACTTTTCAAACTGACAAATCCCTATCGCCCCTATCGAGCTTTCATTGTCAGGATGGAAAACATTTCCTCTTCTTCTGGCTGAATTTGGCCGCTTCTGAGTGATTGATTGCTTTAGACGGTCAATTTTTGGCAGTAGAGGCACGAAATAAGAGTTTTTCTTTAAGTCCCATCAAATACATATGTAATAAAACCTTCTTAGCTTGCGTCGGCTTACCGCAATTCGACGGCGACTATTGATGTGGCTAATTTTTTATTCCATCTGTTCGTCGACTGAAGGTATGATATCCAATAATTTTCAGTCACAGTTTATCGAAAGGTGAATAGTCGAGAAGTATGCGTGTGCTTAGTATTATTATTGTTTTCGTTGTTTGAGTTGGTTTTAGTGTTGGTTAACTAGTTCAAAGATCACTGCTTATCCAAACTGGCCAGCGGCGGATGCAGAGTACAGTTTTTCGGAGGGAACTATATAATTTTGTACTTGCAACTTAAAGTTTTTTCTTCGCGGAGCGTCTTTTATGATGGAAATAATGTATAACTTAGTGGGGCTATATATCATCATATTAAAATGGAGCATACATAACCGGACACTCCCTTATTTATACAGGCTAGATATGTAAAGTGTGCTCTCTTTATAGATGGCCTTATTTATTTTGACCTAGTTGAGCGTATTCTAAATATTTGTTAAATTTTGTAAAGTTATTTTATAAAACAAACAATTTTTATATACGTAGTCTTGAGTTTGATCGATCATCTCTAAATCGACCGAGCCCGTCAGGGAGATTACACTGGTCGACATGGCTTTTGGTTTTTTGGATATGACTTTTGGATATTTCAGTTGCCGCTACACAAAAAATAAAGGAATAAAGTTTGCTTTTGTACTATATTTTTTCACATTTTTTTTTTTTTATGTTCAATGGGCAAAGAAGACCCATTCGTATCAGACACAAGCAAACTTTAAGAGTTTTCAATTAAAACTCCAGTATTTTTCAAGGTCTAGAATCAGAATTTGAGCATGAAAGCAGAAACCTAAAATTCTTTTTTGTTGACCGGTGTTGTTTATATATATAGTACATATATACATATATATACTTAGTTCATAGAATCTACAACACTTCTATGAGGCCTTCGTGATCAACTTATGATATGAAATATTTTTGAGCTTATAACAGAACAATGTATATATGAACCATTCCAATTTCGCAAAATGTGTATTATCGGTCAACTCAATTATTTTTTTCTTACATTAAATTTAAATTTTTAATTTTCAATTATACTTTCCTAGCACCCAAATATGTATTTTCATTATTCGTGTGCCATTTAAGAAATTCAATTCGGCTTATTGCTAAAATGTCTTTTCTTCTATTTACTCCGCCAGGTCACGTTCATATCGCGGTGATTCGAATTTCAATGCGCTACTCACACCGCTCACCTTCCTCGTCACCTATTTCAATTCGGGCATTAATCCGTTGCTCTACGCCTTTCTAAGCCGCAATTTTCGCAAAGGCATGAAGGAGCTGCTGTTGTGTTCCTGGAAGAAGGGCAAGGGCAAATCATCGTCGAATTCATCGATGCATCAAAAGCGCGTGGCATTGCAGGTAGTTGGTATAAAAGCGGAATATGCGTGAAAAACAATACAAAAATTAAGAAAACTAAAAAACATAAAAAACACAAACAAAATTTATATATAGTGTGAATATGAAAGTATGGAGAAAAGAGAATACAAAGAATACAGAGAAAAAAGAGAAAAACTCATAATTATTGGCAACCAAAAAAAGACTTGACCACCTTTTTCGTTTATGACAATCTGGCAACTGCACTCGCACTTTATTTGCACTTTTGCATTAATTTCAAATCTTTCGCTCTTATCCTTGTACCGTACCGTTATCGTACACACCCAAACCCAACAATTATATACAAATCCTTTATGCCATTTTTACGAAATCTTCTAGACTCACTCGCTACCAACCGACACAACGCATATTGGCAACGAACAGCTATGATGACCCATTCGTCGCGTTCGCATACAACGGCGAGCTTTTGGCACAGCCTCGTAAGCTTCTCACCCGTCGCAGCATATACCTACCTACATACCTAGTATAGAGTCTAGTCATTAATTATATATATATGTATTTGTATTTGTACATCTGTTGGCAAATAATTATTGTATTGTGGGTTTCAAGGTGTACTATACTCATTTGTTTGTGTTAGTGCTTTGCATTTCAATTCTTCATTTTTCCTATCTTACGATATAAGAACTCTTCGAATTTCAAGTGAAAATCAAACAAACAATTGCTGTGCTATAGCTTTTTCTTGTAATTATGCAGATTTAAGCAACATCTTTTATCAATGTGATGTTTTCGCAGCTTCAAATGTGATTAGTGATAACGGTTTTTGGCATAAAATAAATATTTGATATTTACGATAGCTAAGCAGTGTTTTAATGCAGTTGTAATGTAATTAAGTACTTATAATTGAAAATTAAAAGTACTTATAAGAAAATTAAGTACTGGTAATTTATTGAATTAAATATTGGTAAATGATGTAAATAGATAGAACTGTAATTAAGTAATGGTAATTATTGTAATTAAGTAATGGTAATTATTGTAATTAATTACTGGAAATAAATGTAATTAAGTATTTAATTATTTATACGTTTACTCATATACATATATATGAGTATTGTTAAATGTATTTGAGTGTGATTATTTGTTTTCTTAAAATAAATATTTGTTTGTAAATGAGCTTCAGATATTTTTATGACCAAGTACCTACACTTAATTAAATTAAGTAATTTATATAATTAATTAACTTGGTTATTTAGTTAATTACTTTGAGTTTTCGCTGACTTAAATAACTAAAATATACCCTAGCGAGCTTGAAGCAGTAATTAAATATTTAAAAGCCTGCTAATTAATATAAGTATTTAGATTTTATTAAAATATCAATTTTTTTTAAGAATATAGATGAACGAACGTTTGTGATATTACTGAGTGAAAGTGAAAGATAATTCATACTTTTCATACTCATTTATTATTTTATCGCATTTTATATCTTTTTTAAAGCAGGGTTTCCAATCATTTTTTTAATTAAATAGAAACATGTTTTTTTTTTTTGTAAAAAGCACAAGCTTTCGAACTGATTTTTTCATGAAATTTTTTTTATAAAAAATA